ACATACATACATACATACACACACACACACACACACACACACACGTACATATGTTGCTTTCATAACTCATGGGGACTTGTATTAATTTCCTTGAGACTATTCTAACTACCACTTGCCTAACACCTAACCTTAAACCACATCTTCAGTCAAAAGCCGAGTCCCCATAATGTAAGTGTGCGTGTAAACAGGCTTCAGTCCCCATAGTGTGAGTAACACTAGGCGCACACATGCATTGGCCTATTATTACTTAAAAGAACCTAAGGTAAAATCTGGCTTTATGCTGTTAAAAACATGTAAATGATAAATAGGTTACTGTTTGTAGCACGTTTTGTTAAGTTCCAGCAACTACTGTAATATGCCTTTTCCACTGCAGGAACCAACTAACCTGTAAATGAACTAGTACTCTTTGTCCCAGGGTCTGCTTTTATTTCCACTGCCAAAATGTGGTCTTCACTCATACTGGCTTAGAGAAAAAAAAAACTGAGACTTGACCCATACAGGCTTAGAAGTAAAACTGGAACTTGACTCATACTGGTTTGACGGTATAATAAGGACTTCACTCATACTGGTTTTAGAGGTAAAACTGGGACTTCAGCAAGCTGACCACAAGCAAAGCAGCAAGTATCTGTTCTGCTTGCTCAACTGTTGTTTGATAAATTGCTCATACAGCAAACTTAATTGCAAGCACGATTAACAAATATCATAGTCCTTGACTTGGGGCCCTCGTGTAGAGAGGAACTCAGCCTTGCCCACATGTAAAAAAGAATGACAGAGGGAAATATACAGTGGAAAAGCAAAGTGGAACTGTCCACATCAGCCCTTCAAGTTTCACTGGGTTATAGGTATGGGAAGCTCCAGATTACAGCTTGTTCATTTCCGGGAGGGGGTGGATTGGTCTTGGAATTTAGCCAATGATTTATTGTATAAATCATGATTTTGTGTATAAATCATGGCCTAAACAAAGATATGTGAGTGCAGTTTGTGGATACAGTACTTCAGTAGGTATTCACACACTGGTTTATGTGTGAATACGTTTTCCAGAACAAAGCACCATCTAATGGTGTCAATACGCAAATTAATAATTGGTACTTGAATGGGTGTGTGTTTGCTGTGGAGACTAGCGACACCTCATCAAGCAACAGGATGAGGGGGCTGGTTGGAAGTTGGCAGGGAAATGGCTGGCAGCTGAATGGCCTTCAGCTAGGAGCAGCACTTCTGAGTCACTGGGACTGTAATGCATACCTATGCCTGTTACCCTAACCATCACAAATAAATGCCTGACCTCAACCTTACCCTAACCCAAACCTAATTATACCTCTTAACCCTAAAACCAAGTTGTAACCCTCAAACAACCCATTGATGTTGCGAGGACCTCACAATGCAGAATGTCCTCACTGTGATGGTTCTGAACAAACCATTTGTGCAGAAAGACCTGTACATACAGGTCTAGTAGAAAGAAACAAGCACAGGTCCACATAATGCAGCAAGTGTCTCACTGACTGATTTAACTGGACACTGAGTACAAGAACATTTGCTGAAGTCAATGGAATGGAACAGTGAAGGGTGCAGCCTGTTCTCATTCTTTCATAACATTGAGGAGGACATGCACAAATACATTCACATACACTGGGAACATGCAGTAGGATAACCAGCTGTGTGTGGAGAGATAGGGACCTGTTCTCAAATGTGTTGATATTTATATAGTAATGCTGATGTGTAATTGTGTGTGTGTTGCTGTCATGCATGCTCTCTGCGATCTGTTGTGGTGCAGCCCCTGCCCAGAGAGAGCTGGTGTTCGTGAAAGTATTTCCAAGTGTGCGTGTGTGCACGCTTTCCTTGTTGCTGTAGTAATGATCACAGAAACCTTTACTGCACAAAGTGGTTTTCATATGGTCTCCTACCAGTTGTTGCGGGCAATGTCATAGATCCAGAAGGAGTTGCGTACGTTCTCCTCACGTTTGTCCTTATCTTTGCTAAGACCAGACAACACATGGATCTCATTGAGCTCAGGGTCAATGGTGGCTCTCTGGGTAAAGCCTGTCATTGGCACTGTGAAAAAACAAAGATGACAAAAACAGGGAGGTCAACTCAGAGATAACATTTACTTCTACAGCAGATCTGATTCAACTCAGATAAGAAGATAACAATGTTTAGAAGCAGTTCATATTATTATAAAGGAGGGGAAAAAAATCTGTGAGCCAAGTCCATTATTAAAAAAATTTTCTTCTCCTTGAAATGAAAAGAAAAGTACAGCAACAAGCAACAGTATTATAGGCTATCAAAGAAAACTACTTCATAACATAGCAAAATGCTGCCATGGCAACAAGCCCCGACAGAGACAGAGTGAACAGCATGCAAATGGAGAACCGCCGACGCGCACTGTTTTCTTGTGATTACAGCAGCCCTGAGACCTACTGTGGGTAAAGCAAGGAACCAAAAATGAAAGGGCTGTTAACACAGCGTCCTCTGCAGTTCCAGCATGGCTAGAAGTAAAAGGTTTCATCGAAATTACAGATGCAATGCAACAGTAATATCAAGGCTGTATGCAGAACTGCAAAAAAATTAATACCACAAACTACAATATAATTTCAGTTTTCCTTATAAACATATGTTTAGTGAAGTCAGATTTACCGTTCTGTTTCAATGTAACTAAAAGTTTGCCTGTAATGTATAATCTAAGTTATGGCCAGCTGGATTCAGCCATTGTTCTCTTTATCAGAAATGCAATTCAATGTAAAATATATAATCTTATCTCTGTTAAGGATGCGCATTTTCAGTTTTTTTTCTGACCGTTAACCAACAAGATTAAAATGCTAGGCTATTTAGAATGGCTGAGTGTCTGTGACTCATTAAAAAATTTTTTTTAATTTTAATAAGGGGTTTATTTTTACATGTGTAAATACGGCATAAGCAACAACAGAACATAGCACACCACCACATCACACATCTGTGAACTGAGTGCAAAAGCCTAGCAAAATAGTTTCTATGGGCTGCTAGCCGGAGGCAGCTCATGTTACTTCAGGGGTGTGTGATATTATATTAGATGTGGACCATGAATGTTACTTCCTTTTCAATTGTCGTTGTACGTGTTGCAATGACAAGTCAAGTTTTAACAGTTAACAGTTTCAAAGTACACTGTTCAAAATAAATTAGCACATATTTCTCTGAAAACTGCAGATACTGCAAAGACCTTAATCGTGCAAGCAAACCTTACAACCAAGTGTAGGGCAGAAAAAAAAATGGAGGGGTGTCAAACCTTTTGTTTTTAATTTTAATTCATATTTAGTTTGTTTTATGATTGGAATTGAAATAATCAAATATGATTACTGATTATATGGGACCAATTTAATTCTTGTTGCTTCTGGAGGAGGGCAGGTGTCTTTTGGTGGAGCTCTTTGTCATCATCGTGATCTGTTCCCCTGTTGAGATGTGTTTCTCCGAACCTGAACCCTAAACTTGTCCCAACCTTAACCACCGAGGGGGGGGCACTACTAGAAACACAGTTTTAACAGGGGAAACAAGTCTTGATTGGGGAACCGATTTCGATAAAATACCGGTGAGCCAAATAGTAAAATGCAGAAGTGCTGGTACTGTGTACCTGCGCAAACCGACCCACTTCGAGCACTGAGATTAATGGAAGCACACACTGAAATCTCCAGCACCGAGAGCACTGTAATGAAAACCTGCTCCTCCACTCTCGGCTAAATACTCAAAACCCCCAACAGGTTAGCAAAACAGAAACTTATACCCTACTGGTTTTTCTTCAGAAATAACATGTTGTGGGGTTATAGTCTGTGAGACCCATGGTGGAAACTACCCCGTCTGATGGTACTGAATGTCCCAGCCCAGGAATGCAAAGAAAGCACCTCACTAGTGGCCAGCCTGGGGAAGCCTGTCTGATTAGCTTTCCACCACAACCCCATGAGTTGACATGTAGGCCCTGTAGCCTGTTCATCTTCCTCCAAACATGGCGAGTGGAGTTTATACCAAAAAGTTCTATTTTAGTCTCATTTGACCACATGACCTTCTCCCATGCCTCCTCTGGATCATCCAGATGGTCTTTGGCAAACTTCAGACGGGCCTGGACATGTGCTGGCTTGAGCACAGGGACTTTGCGTGCGCTGCAGGATTTTAAGCCATGACGGTGTAGCGTGTTACTAATGATAACCATTGAGATTGCAGTCCCAGCTCTCTTCAGGTCATTGACCAGGTCCTCCTGTATAGTTCTGGGCTGATCCCTCACCTTTCTCAGGATCATCGATACTCCACGAGGCGAGATCTTGCATGGAGCCCCAGTCCAAGGGAGATCGACAGTCATTTTGAATTTCTTCCATTGTCTAATAATTCCACCAACAATTGTTGCCTTCTCACCAAGTTGTTTGCCTATTGTCCTGTAGCCCATCCCAGCCTTGTGAGGGTCTACAATTTTGTCTCTAGTGTCCTTAGACAGCTCTTTGGTCTTGCCCATAGTGGAGGAGTTGAAATCTGATAGATTGAGTGTGTGGACAGGTGTCTTTTATACAGGTAACGAGTTCAAACAGGTGCAATTGATACAGGCAATGAGTGGAGGATAGGAGGGCTTCTTAAAGACAAACTAACAGGTCTGTGAGAGCTAGAATTCTTGATGGTTGGTAGGTGATCAAATACTTATTTCATGCAATAAAATGGAAATAAATTATTGATTTACTGGAATTTTTTGGCAGATTCTGTCTCTCACAGTTGAGGTGTACCTACGATGAAAATTAGAGAACTGTCCATTCACTGTAAGTGGGAAAACTTGAAAAATCGGCAGTGTATCAAATACTTATTTGCCCCACTGTATCAGGGCAGAAAGTGACTGTCTGCTGCTAGAGCTTTTTAAACAATCTGTCACATCCCATCTGAAGGAGTCATACAAAGCAAGGAAACAAACATAACATAAGGTAAAGTGCAGGTTAATTTGTTTTATTTTTACTTTATGTTACTGTAATCATTTTTATATGAATAAGTGGCTGTGGAATGAATCATCTGAGTTTCCATTATTTCTTATGGGAAAATTTGCTTTGATATATGAGTGCTTTGGATTACAAGCACGTTGCCGGAACGAATTATATTCGCAATCCAAGGTTTTACTGTATTATTACAATACACCCATTATAAGTGATATGAAACCCACACCATCATCATATTATAGTTAGTTTTAATTGGCTCAAAAATTACGAGCAATATTAAGTGGTTGATTCTGTGGTTCTGTTTTTGTATTGTTCACCTAGCACGCAAAAACCGTTTAAAAATGTAAACAAACCGCTTAAGGTTACAGTAAGATTTTAGCACAAATTCAGATAAGTAAAAAATTGTCTAGAAGCGTTTTCTCCCTGCTGTACCAACCCCCCACCCCACTCGGCTATCTTCAGGCCTTATTTCTTGACCTCTGTGGCCACTGTTGTTAGAATCTGCACGCTTGCTAAACCAGTATGGCTTATTTCAAAGATGGCCCATGGAAGTTCCCTGTGACCCATGCTGGGAGCAGACCTGTTAGACCCAAGAGGTCGCATTCTGTAGCACAGAAAGAGTGCAACAAAGAACGAGGCAAAACCACTGGTTTGTCATGTCAGAGATGGAGAGCACTAAAGGCCTCCAAAGGGCTAAAACTGATGCAGATGTGGCTTTCTTCTTTATAGACATAAGTAGCTAGCTAATGTGTACATGTCTGCATCGTTAGCAAGATAACTTTAGCATTTCAATTTTGTACCTTTGTATTCAATTATTCTAGCTGTAATCTAAAGTCATTCCAACTGACCGCAGTGTTCGTGTTTTGTTGTCTAATTAGTAGAAACCAGCGCATTTAGCAAATCAAGTAATTTTGCTCAGTTTGCTAATTTTTGCTAGGTTTTTGTCCAGTCCACAGGGTTTGTTTATGTCAGATAGAGCAGTCCATGTAACATTTTAGCAAGATGTCATTAAAATTTACAGCATCAACAACTGGAAGAATGGGGACTTTGTTCAACTATCAAAGCATAATGCTATTTCAAATTTCACAAACAACTAACAGTTACCTTATAATGTTATGCGTGTCAAGTATGTATTATTGAACAAAATACAACAGTGGCTGAACATTAATATGGTATCAACATTACTGGAAAAAACATTCCTTTGTATAATTTACTTGTGTTACTGCTTTATGTAGGAAAAAAGGACCCATGTCACTGCAATGCCACCGAAAACCATGGGCTCTATATTCTGTAAGCGTTAATATTAATGCTGATCTGCCTGATTTACCATATGATGTCATTTCACAGACCGGACATGAGTGGCAAGGAGGCGCAGAGGGAGAAGAGGGAGGGGTTACCGTCTGAGTTTGTTTTGATTCCCACTCACTCTTTAATGGTAAAAAGTTAGCTAGAGTGGCTTCAAACTGAATGATGCATGGAATTCTAGCACGATTTGAATTCCTGTAATCATTTTCATTTAAGCAAAGCTAGTTCAGCAAAGAAAGCAATGTGAATAGCTGTTGTTACCTCAAAGTGAAGGTTTAGCCAGCTGTTATCCAAAAGATTTTCTGACATCTAAACTCTATCTTAGTTACCCCTGCCACTAAAACTCTACAAAATGCACACAAGCAAACCAGACATAAGGAAAGTTATCTAGGAATTACATTTGTCTTGAAAGTTAACTCTCTTGCGTGGCACAAGCTCGCACTGCAGAACTTTTATAAAAGAAAACATCAGATTGACAAAACAACTTGTTGATAAATCATGAGCCCTTTAGTTTGGAAAGGTCTGAGATCTTACCCATGCCCGAGTCCTTCTTGGTGCCATCTGATATAATCTCTACATGATCACCATCCACATCGTAGCTGAAGAAATCATTAAGGTATGTTTTTGACCTCTGACCTCCAAACACATACAAACAGCGATTTCTCTGAGAACAGAAGAGAGAGCGCGAGATACAGTAAACAAAGAGACTAAGAAGAGAGATACAGAAATTATGATTAACCTTCAAGTTCACAGTGTCTAACTGAATTAATCACACAGGATTATCCTCACAGCAGTATAAAGCAACCCAAAATGTGTACCCAGGCTGAATGGACTCACTGTGTGGAACAGCATGCAATGTCCAATGCGGGACTGGACATCCTCTGGCCCGGCATTACACGAGTCTTCACGCAAGAGGCTCCACGTTCCAGCCTGACAGTGGTAGGAGTACAGGCCACTGAACTGAGGGTCTGATGTCCGACTGTCCTCCACACTGCCGTTACATGTCAGGATCCGACCGCCAAAAGTGTAGATCATGTGCTTTTCGGAGTCCATGCACATCTGAAGGAATATCAGGGAACAGAGGACAAGAGACAGAGTAAACAGAAGTACTAAAGTTCAGAAAGAGGTTTGTGGGGAGAACCAAAAGGCATACAGAAACTTAGGAAAGATACTGTATGTTGATATGTTTGTTTTGGTCTTGCCCTAAAACAAAATGACTGTGGACTAAAAATTTATTGCTGAACATAACTGGCATCAACTAGGCTAGTGCCATTTAAACAGTCTGTGTGTCAATGGAGGGTGAGAATGTCACAGATTTTTACATGACTCAAGGAAAAACATTTGCTTGAATGTTCAAGCAGCTTCGAAAAACCCCTCCACTCTACAGCTGTTCGATGTGGTTTAGGATGTAGTTTGTGCTGTTGCTGAATCAGCATGTTGCACTGGGGGTCTTTCTATTATTTTGCCCACAACATTTATATCAATAAGAGTATTCCACCAGCCAAATGCAAATTTTAAAGCTGGACTGGACAGCTGTGCATGACTGCTTGAGCATACTGACTTCAACTACAGTCTAATGCTCAGCTAGTGCCATTTAAACAGTCTGTGTATCAATGGAGGGTGAGAATGTCACAGATTTCAGCTACCTGATGGTCAAACACCAATTTTGGCCCTCCATCAGCTGACGTGTCCTCACTTAGTAGCATCCAGGTGTTTGCATCGATGTCATAGCGGTAGAAGTCACTCTTCAGGGACTTGCTGTTCCTGACGCTGGAGTCCAAGTACCGGCCAAGCGTGTAGATCTGACGCCGCTGGGAGTCGATGCACATCTTGTGGCAAGAACGAGCACTTGGTCCATTCTGATTGGTACACAGGAAGACAGACATCCATAAGCTGTTCAACTGTGTCTCACTTACATATTCAGTGTCTTAAATCAATAACCAGTCCTGAAGAGTGTGGTACTGTGTGCTATGCAAATAACATCAATCTCAAGAAAATGAAAGACCATAAATCATATTGAGGCTACATTCATATTACAGGCCTTAATGCTCAATTCTGGTCCTTTTGTCAGTGGTTTTCAAGCATAAATAGAACTATAAAAACACTTTATTGCTTAAAACATTGGGAACATGGTGAAGGTTTGAGGCCTTCAAGAAGCCAATACTCCCACATATTTTCTGAGCCTTCTTGCCTCTTTCTCAGTGTCTCTGGAGATGCAGGCCCACTGGTTCTCCTGAACGCTGTAAGCCCAGAAGTCAGCCAGGTCCTGTGTGCCATCCCAGCCTCCAAACAGGTACACAGTCTCTGCAGGGAACAAACAGCAACTGCTCAATAAATGGACAAATTGCATTATGGAATATTAATGCTCTTGTGTTTGCATTCATGAAGCGCTGCCTGCAGCTAGCTACACTCAAATGCTCTATCATATCTCCACTTAGTGTATAGGTCCTCAAAGCAGGCTGGATTAACATGGAATCGGTGTTTTTATGGCACATCAACACAGAGAGAAATAACACATGATCCAGCCTGCAGCGTTTCAGTGTGTTCACCAATATCTGAATGTGAACTCATACATGGGTATACTCACAAATACCAAATCACTTTTACTTAACCTTTTATATACATATGCACATTTCCACACAACCACTACCATATAACTGACACTGCCTTTTCTTGCCCCATATATTTGCCAAAAGAAAGTCTGCTCCAAATTTAATTTTTGCATGAATAATGCAGTTACACAGTAAACGCTTACTCCACTGTAAACTCACATTAAAATCAGTAAAGGATTTCAGATAAAAGCTGCAGTAAATAAACCAAACTTCTCCTCTAGTCATTTGTAATGTGTCCTTCAGTGTTTTCTATGAAGGCCACATAGAGAAGGTGGAGCCGTTGTGGCAGGAAGATTTGATAAGAGTCCTCTCTCCATCCCCTTCATAAAGAAAATACTGAAGCTCATCTGTATTTCTGAACCAGTGATAGCACTTTAGCTATAAACAGTCTCTTCTGGTAAACTAAACGTGAATTTTACAATTATCTTGCTCACAATGCTATGCATTAGGAAAATATTAAAGTATGTTAGCAAGACACAAGGCTGCTTTTTATAAAGCTAATGCATCAAAAGTAAACAATACAAGACTGGAATTTGATCTGCCTTAAATAGCTCATCAAAGAAACATGCAGATCAGCCCTGGTCTGGGTCCTGACAATCAGCTAAAGGTATCCATTTGCTGAGAAATTCTCTTCAGTGACAATAGCAAAAAAGAACATGGTGTTACAAGACACATGAGACAATAGCAAAAAAGAACATGGTGTTACAAGACGCATGATGTATTTTAACATTCTACTACCATTTGTATCATGTCACTAATTAATAAGCCTGCTAGTCTCCACTGTGAGAACGTCATCATTTGGGTCAAAAACAGGCCACTGCAGCTCAGGCAGATGGGAGTTGTGAATGACTTCAGGCCAGTGGCGCTCACATCAGTCACTATGAAGTGCTTAGAGAAACTGGTCCTCACACACGTTAACCACATGGTCCCGGACACTGTAGACACCCTCCAGTTTGCCTACCGCCCCAACAGATCAGTGGATGATGCGACGGCTCTGGCTTTATTCCATACCCTGAAACACCTGGACAACAGCAGTACGTATGCTGGGATGCTCTTCCTGGATTACAGTTCTGCATTCAACACCATTCGCCGACGCAGGCTGACTGAGAAGATGACAGACCTCGGTGTGCCAACTCCCACCTGCAACTGGATTTTGGACTTCCTGACTGAAAGACCACAGGTAGTTGGAATGGGACAACTGTGTCTCCAACCATGACAACACCATCATCATTAAATATGCTGATGACACCACCATTCTGGGTCTCATCAAGGAGGGAGACGAATCGGGTTACAGAAGCTTGGTGAACGACATTCTTGTTTATGGAGAGGAGAATAACCTCATCCTCAACATAAACAAGACAAAAAAAATAATAGTAGACTTCAGGAAGAACCCCTCCCCTCTGCTGCCTCTGACCATCAAAGGGTCCGAGGTGGAGAGGGCTGACAGCCACAAGTTCCTGGGCCTGCAGGTGACATCTGACCTGAGCTGGTCACTGAACACAGCTGCCACAGCGAAGAAAGCCCAGCAGCAGCTATACTTTATCAGGCAGCTCAGAAAAGCTGGATTGAACCATCGCCCTCTCACCCAGGCTTATAGAGGACTGGTAGAGAGCATCCTCACTACTGGCATCACAGTCTGGTATGGTAACACCACACAGGCAGAGAGGAAGGCTCTTCAAAGGGTCATAAAGACTGCAGAGAGGATCACTGGGACTGAACTGCCTGCTATGGACACACTATACACACAGCGCTGTCGTAAAAGGGTGGAAAACATAATCAGGGATCCAGGCCACCCAGCTCACTCTCCTCAGACACCAAAACTGCACCTACAGCCTCAGGCACAGCAGGGCGGACAGTATCATCACACACAGAACAAGACTTTACAACAGCTTTTTTCCTGCTGCAGTAAGACTGATGGCAAATACAAAAATGTGAGAATATATGTGCAATAACCCCTCACTACCTCACCAAGCATAATGACCTATCCAAGTGCACCACATGAATTACTAAGTGTGATGTTTGAAGTTCACTGTGGGAAATACTACTGACCTATTTTTGTGTATTGTGTTTTGATACTTTGTCGCCTTTTTGTAACTTTTTTATTTTAAGACCAAGTGTTCTTTCTGGCTTTTGACTCCTTAGCTGACTCCAAAGGAGAGCTGCACAAGAACTCCTATATGTCTAGACTGTCTGTTTATGCATAAATGGGAAATAAAAATCTTGAATCTTGATTCTGAGACATATATAGGAGGAAACAAGCTATGCCATTACTGCTGCAATACCAAAACAGAGTATGGGCTGGAAAACAGATTGCAAAAGCCAAAACTCTTCAATGAGTCCCCAGTAATGATCAACAATAGCTTTGATTCAACAAAAACAAAGACTCAGAAGAGCTTCATTTCACACTGGGTAGCTTGTCATGGTGTCTCTCCAAATCTCCAAAAGATCCTGGCAGCCACAGCTAAGTTTCCCCACATAAAAGGTGTTTTTGTTGTAACCATATGAATAAATGAAAATATTTGGCCCACAAGAGGCTGCAGAGTGTGTACGTGTCAAAGAAAAAAAAGAACATCAAAAAGTAAATAAGGAGGGAAAAGTAGTGAGAATCAAACTGGGATCAGGACAAGTTAGGACTGGGGACAAACATCTGGAACCTACTGTATCAGCTTCTGTGTGCTGCTGTATGAAACACAAACTAAAGGGATGTAATGCCTTCTCTTAGTTCTGACACAAATTGCAGACTGCATTGCTCATTCTCACACACAGACACAAAGTGCAGGATTCTGTTTTTCAGATGAAAAGTACTCCACCACCATATACAGAAAAAAAAAAACAATAGTTCTGTGTCTCCGTCGGAACAAAAATGTTGATTTATGTGCTGCTAAAAGACAGCTTTCTTTTGGAAGAGAAGGGCTGGAGGTGGTTAATTTGATTACACAGTCATATCGTTGCTTTCTGAGTCTGTGTAGGAAGATATGACTCATAGCATCAATTGAACAACCAAGTCATAACACTGGCTGCGTGGGTCTCACCAGTCTGGACGTCAATGACCATTTGATGTCCTCCCCGCATCCCTGGCCTGTTATCATCGCCATCACCTGCAAAGAGAAGAGGAACGAGGACACAAGCATGGTGTATGCATGTGGGAGTTGGAAGATGAGAAAGAGGGCAGTGAGAGAGAGGATAATGGAAGATAGGTGGAAAAACAAGAAGATTAAAGGGCAGAGGGAAGGAAAGAGAAAAGGGGAAGGCAGCACTGGTTTAGCTACAAGGTCACACAGCTTTCAGTGTGCTGAAATGTTGGACAGACAGATTGAATAGTTGGCCTCACTGTTCATGTCGTCTCGGTTGATTTCTTGGGTGCTTGTACCTTTGTTGCATTTTGGGATGATCTGACTCCACCTGGGCTTGTACTCCTGCTGGCTGATATACTGGTTAAACAAACCATCTGACAAGGAGAGAAGAGGATGAAATATGGCAAAATTACTATTAACACATACAGAAACCAGGCATAACAGGGGATTTCACTAGTACTAAAAAAAAAAAAAAAAAAAAAAAAAAAAAAAAAACAAAAAAAAAACATAAAACTCAGTAGTAACATGTAATATTGAGTCACAAGGTCAAGCACAATACCTCTCACAGCTTTGTCTATAAGCTCTTCACAAGCATCAAAATCTCCTTGGAGAACCAGCCGGTCATGGAGGTGTGTGAGCATGGGGTGTTCCAATGCTATCCGAGTCTTCTTCTGCAGTGATTCAAAGGCTTCTGTGTAGTTATGCTGTCGAAAGTGCTTGAGACAAAGGCGGATGGCTTCCTGTTCTCTGTACTGCAAAGGGACAACAGAGAGAAAAACAAATCAGTCCACAAACACAACTTGTCAACTCTACTTCAACCGTACTTGGACAATCCCAGTTGAGGCTGGTTATTTAACCTGAAAAAGTACTGAAACATGCCCAATCAAAATGTTGCCACCAAATACTTGGTTACATTTTTAGTTGCGTTTATTACCAATAGGAATTATGGTTAGTACAATGAAATAAGGCCCAAAGTGTAATCAACTCAGTCTATTGTTTAATGCAGCACTAGTGTTATTTTGTTAGCAAATGCAATTAAACAAAAATTTTGTCAGTGACAGCCTTGCTGAAATCTTAACCGTTAGATTAACAAAACACAGTATAGTATAGACTGTAGTTCAATACAATTACAAAAAACTAACCCTAAATGTAAAGTTTTAAAGGCATAAGAAGACAGATGCTAGCATTCAATCTGCCAAAAGTTATCTAAAGCTTGGAAAACAGCACAACTAGTCAGCACTCAGAGAGTGCAACCTCCACCAAGGGCAACTCAGTTTCCTCATAACGTCATAAAAGCAATATTCCCATGGTAGTCTGACTCTCAGGGTTATGCTAGATGACATTAAAGGGAAGCATGGGGTGTACCGCTTGTTAGGTTACAAGAGTGGGAATGCAGCTATAATGCGCAGCTGGAACACAAACCTCCTCACCAATAGACTGAATGAGATGTAGCTGTCTGCTAAAAAAAATAGTTTGGTCAGATAACGAGCACTCACAACCTCACTGTCGTCTCACACAGTGGGGTGTACTGAGTGATAGCATTTGTTTTCCATTGACAAGGACTGGGCAGCTGTCACTAACCCACGACTTTGTCTGTCTATGTGCTCAGAATGCTGAGCAGCACAGCCGGTCACTCTGATTGTAGTATGTGAGCCCCCTTGTGGCCAAACAGCCTTTGTAGAACTCACAATGGTGAATAATCTAAAAATATTCCTTTATCCAAATTATGATATGGATCAGCACCAACATTGTTCCATGGCCCAAACGCAACCTCTCCAAAAAATTTCATCCAAATCCATTCATTACATTTTGAGTTATGCTGTTAACGAACAAACAAACCAACAAATGCTAGCAAAAAATATAACTCCCGCCATTGGCTGAGGTAATAAACTGAGGTCAGACAGCAATTTGAAATGTTGCAGTGAATTCTGGTATCAAGACCACATCCTTAGCAGCCTTGCTCAAAGACATCTAATTATAAATTTAGGCTTCTATAATCCACACTTTCAGTTCAAGCCCATGCCTCTTACCTCCAGGCAACCAACAGGTGCTTACCTTGCTATACCAGTTAAGGCAGGGCTGCACCACATCAGGATCTTCAATACCATGCAGTTCAATGTACCAGATGCTGAAGTTAAAACTAGGACCCCAAGACATAAGAGGCACTGAGACATAGTGGAAGACAAGATGGAGAAAGAGAACAGTGTAAAAAATACGGAATGTTGGCCATGTAACACAAAGCACATATACCTGGTTGAAATGTATCAGCTCTCACCTATTTTGACAAATCTGCAGGGAAACATCTGCTCATCTATCTTGTGCTTTAAGGTGAACGTTTCCTTGTTGTAGTCATTCTTAAGGCCACTGGCAGAGAAAGAAAGAGAAAGCAAAGATGATAGCACCGTTTCACAATTATATTAGTGGGTTACAATGACAGCATCATCCATATGCTGGTACATTCTAGACAGTGGTCCAACTTTGGCAAATGACCAGCTGGCAGCTATCATCTGGCCTCTTCTTTACCAAACAGGCTGTCTTGTAATGTCATAAAAGTGGATGAGCCACTAATTACTGAGATAACTGACGGTAGCTATTTCACAAATACTGCTTTAGTGTCTCTCAGTATTGGGGGAAATAAAGCCAATAAACCCATCTACATCTTCAAACATTATTTAATGGAAAGAGGATCCATTCATAGGGCAGCATGGTGGCACAGTGGTTAGCACCGTGCGCACACAGCGAGAAGGTTCTGGGTTCGGGCCCCACCCGGGACCTTTCTGTGTGGATTTTGCATGTTCTCCCTGTGCTTGCGTAGGTTCTCTCCGGGTACTCCGGCTTCCTCCCACAGTCCAAAGACATGCAGCTTAGGTTGATTGGTGTCTCTAAATTGCCCATAGGAGTGCGTGCGTGTGTGTGGTTGTTTGTCTATGTGTTAGCCCTGCGATGGATTGGCGACCTGTCCAGGGTGTACCCCGCCTTCACCCGATTGCCGGCTGGGATTGGCTCCAGCCCCCCCCCGTGACCCCGTTTTGGGACTATGCGGTAGAAAATGGATGGATGGAAGGATCCATTCATCAAGTACAAATGTATCAGGCTAAAACTAATTTGTTTTAAACTATTTTCAATACAAATTATTTTAAAATCAACTGATTGACATTAAACAACAACAACAAAAAAAATCCTTTTTCAAATAGCCTCTACACATTTGATGAGCTGGACCTAGAAAATGTTTGGCATTTACATTTGACTAATGACTTAAATGATTAAATCTGTTATTAAAATTGTTGCCTAATCACATTCCTTCAGTAAACTAATAAATGATTTGTTTCTTTATTAGTTTGTCAGGGACAAATACACATTAGTTAACATCAAAACTGCAAATGTGTCAGATTTAGCCAAAAGACTAATTTTCATCCAAAAGGTCCCAGGGCAGGACGATGTTATACAATAAAAAGAATTACAAAAATAGATCTAAATTACTAAGAGGCAAAGTATAAGCAAATACACAAATTAGAATACATAAGTAAATACACAAGTTGATGTCCAAAATAATTTAGACATCAGTCGCAAAAACATAGAGCATTTGTTCACCAAAATAAAATACATGCACCCAAGAAAGCAGAACAAATACAAAATACACAACTGAAGAAGCACAGTAGATACAAGGACAGATATATCAGATGTCATGTCACCACTTTTGTTTTCCAATAACCAGAGTTTCAGATTTCTAGTGAAAATGCCACATGTGGTTAACTCCCTTAAGTCCACCGGTAACATATTCCAAGCACAATAACAAAAAGATGGCTGAACAAACATGCTCTTTCTATTTGGTATAATGCAGTCACCTCTAACAGCAGCTCATATGATCATCAGCGGAGAGTACCACCAGAGTAATGGCATGTAATATGGCATCAGCATAGTTTATAAAATTTTCCCCAAATTAAAAAACTAAATCATATTTTAATAAATATTTTTAATAACAATAATGTCTAGAACCTTCGAGGCTTGTTTATATACTATATATCTATATACATCTATCTATATATATCTATATATATAGTATACTATCAAGTTTAAGAGTGGTTTTACAAGTCTGAGACCAACTAGTGAAAGATTATGTGATGTTTTGGAGAATCATTCCATTCAGAAATAGTTTAGTAGGCTCCGTTGTCAGGTTATTTCTAATAAATTTAGGCCAGACTAACTTTTACTATGCTCACAATTTTCATAATACATTTCTAAAGGAAAGTTTTGAATCAACTATGATGCCCAAATATTTGAACTCCTGTACCACCTGAAGCCCTTGTCCCTGCACAGGAACCAAAGGGGGGACACGTGAATTTAACCTTTTTTCAAAAAAAAAAAAAAAAAAAAAAAAAAATATTAAGATTTTTTTTTAGTTAAAAGTGAGATGCAAACAAGAATTTTTAAATTATTGGTAATTTGGTAATTGTAATGCAGACTGTGTTTTATCATTCACATGTACACAGATGACCACATCATCCAATCCAGGAGGATAGATGTCTTTTAGGTCATTAATATACAATCTGAACAGCAAAGGACCCAAAATGGACCCTTGTGGTACCCCCACTGTATAATCGGAGTATTTTGATCTTAAGTTACCCACTTGTACACACTGTTTATCCTTTCTAAATAAGATTTTATCCAATCAATTGCAGATGAAGAGAAATTGAAGCACGACAATTTAGCAAGTAAAATTTTATGATTTACTGTATGGAAAGCTTTTAACAAGTCAGGAAATACAACACCAACAGTGCCACCTCTGTCCATTTGTGCTTTCACTTGCTCCAAAAAAACAACTTGCAGTCTCTGCAGAATGAGGTTTCCTGAAGCCAGACTGCAAAGGGTGTAATATTTTTGGGCTGTTTTGGAGATGTGAAAGAAGTTGTTGCGCTACACATTTTTCTAATACTTTGGACATAATCAGAAGTATACTTATTGTTTTGTAGTTCTTGATATTCGTATAACTTCCAGGCTTGTGAAGAGGAGTGATAACTGACTTTGTGCATAAAATAAGGAAAATCCCTTGAGTGATGGACAAATTGATGAGCTTAGTTAAAGGAATTACAAACAAATCTTTTGAGTTTTTAGAATCAATGAATCTATACCATATATGTCTTTAGCTTTAGAGCCACTGCCCTCCACCCACTTCGGAGGTGCTCTCTGGAAGTTCAATTTCTACACCCCTCAGGAGGTAGTACTAAAATCATGTTCCAGGAATGCGAGGGGGGAGTGAGTGTGTGCTCACAGAGCAGTCACCCATGACAAGCACAGTGTGTAAAGGGGCACTTACTGTGTACTAATTTAGAGGGAAAATGAGGACTTGTTGTTTTAGAGGCAAAGTGGGGACTTCAGTGGTGAAGATGTCACCTTTCTGCAAGTTTATGTTCTGTTTGTTCAGCAGCTGTTGACAGACTGGTCATACAGTCACCATTACTGGCTGATTGTTGTTGTGACCCTCCACATCTCTTCTCTCTCTGCTCAGCATGACTACTTGTGAGAGAGAGGCACAGCCCCTCCCTGTTCTAAACAGAGAGTATACAGTAAAAAAACAAAGCAGGACGGTCCGTGTCAACCCGGGAGGTTATGTGGGGCAAAGTACAGGATATACCGCTCATTAGGTTCCAATAGTCAAAACACAGCATTAGTCAAATCGAAGTAAGAAGGTTCCAGACTCGAACCTCACGGTCGACTGTGGTTTTTCTATGTGTAGTTTGCATGTTCTCCTCGTGCCTGTGTGGGTTTTCTCCAGGTACTCTGTCTTCCTCCCACAGCACAAGCACATGGACATTGGGTTAATTGGGTTAGTTTCCCCTTAAAATGTCTTCTGAGACAGAGCTTTCCCCCAAGCTGTGAATCCAAACAACCCCAACTTTTCTCACACAAGATAGCTAAAAATGCTCTATTACCAGTTCACATTGAAGCATTTACAAATTCTGTCATTTCCAACTGCAATAACCACAGAAATGATTTGGACTGGTTTTTGATGGACATCTCACCTAGACAAAAGCTCTGTCATGTTCTCTTCACTCATCCCACCAAACACTTTAAACTTCTTCAGGTTACAGACGTGGGTCTTCTCATACTTCCCAAAGGTGATGCTCTGAACAATTGCTGGTCTTTCCAATTTCAAGATTAAAAACTGGAAAAAAAGAGAGAGAGAGATGAAACAGAATGAAACCATAGTGGAAAGAGATGATTCTATTAGTGTGTGTGGAGGACTGCAGAAGCTACCTGCACATAGGCCATGCCAGCCACTGTGAAAAGATTTGCTCACTGTGTTAACGACTACACCAGGCCAGTCTACTCTGTCAGATAAGTGGCATATCATACAATCTACAAGCTGCATTCACGTCACTGTTGCTCTAACAAACCAGGACATTCAATCACAAATCACTAGTGGCCATTAGGCCAAATCAAGTTGACACCATAGGCTATAACACTAATTAAAGTACCACTGGAAAGTAGGCACTTAATAAACCCCAGAGACTTTATTAATATTAATCTGAGATTAAATCTGAAAACTGACATCACTCATGACTCTTTTCACGTTCATCATATATGGAATAAAGGCAACTCTACTGACCATTGACTCAGCTGTCAAGCATTCATCTTGTTCTTTTGCCCTTGTGTGCCATGACTCAGCATGTGATAAAAATGTCTGACCCTCCCATAAGGCTCCTGCAATGACATTTCATTCCTTACCTGGAATTTGGCCCACACTGTTTTAATTGGTCTGTCCCCACTGTTGCCAAGTGCTTGCTCAAAAGGGATTTGTTGGCTTTTTCCCTCTATGATAATGATGATAATAATAATAATAGTAAGGTCTAGACCTTACTTTGCAAAGTGTCCTGAGATATAGCTCATGACTGTATTTACTTAGTGTGAACATGTTTTCTGCAGATATTAATTACAGCTAGTTCTTTCCTACACACACCACCTCAGCTTTCTTCCACTTCAAAACAGTGATTTCACTGTATATTTGTTGTTTGAAAGGACGTAAGGTGAGCTTTTAAAACTTATTTCTATTGTTCTTGCTTATTTTAGTTGTACAGCTCAACTATACCACAGAGCTGCTTTATCTGGCAAACAGTGGGAGAAGTTAAGCTGATGGGTGAGTGGTTAACCTGTGTTTTGAAATGTTTCATTTCCTCTTGCTATACAACACACACTTTCAGATTTAACCTCAAACTCCCTGCCACAGTGTCACAGCAGTCAGTGACACAACAATAAACAACCTTTTCACTATAAATAAAAGACAGACAATTCATGCCAATAATCTGCTCTGTCAAATCTCCTAGCAGGTGACAAGGAAAAGCAACTAATGACTGTAATGACACCATACTGTATGTGTCTTGTTTGTATGTATGTGTATGTATATATATATATATACACACATACATACACACACACACACACCATAACATTATGACCACCTGCACAGGAGTCAATATGGCGGTTGGTCAGCACTGGTGTCACTCTACAGCTCACTGTGCATCTTCTGTGAATCCATTTGCTTCCACAGTTCTACTGTCAGGAAGAGCACAGATGTGTCTACAATTCAGGGACGAACTGATGTAAAAGGAGTGAAAACTGTGGTCGTGAGGACAAGTTAGAATTTTTTAGACAAATCCAACAGCCTCACCACTCTGTGTGATATCACCACTACAGCCCCTGACTCTTTCTCTTCATAGAGACCAATGGACAGTATTTCTCATTTTCAAACATTTCAACAAAGTTTTAAATACATTTTAATCTTTTGAAAAGTACAAATAGAAGTTAAAGGTTTAATCTACAGTAGGGCAGCCTCATCATCAGTGAGCTGTGGACGTCCATGACCCTGTTACCTGTTCACCATTTGTCCTTCCTTAGACACTGTTGGTAGGTACTGACCACTACAGACCAAGAACAC